TTTTTTTTTATTTTATTTTTTAAACTTAATTCATGCCTGATTGTGCAGAGAAAAAAAAAAATAGAGAAATTCTGTGAGACACAGAGTGCACTGAACCCACCAGGCACCTCTTGAGGGGCTTTAGAGGGGTTTAATTTTTTTATTTCCCCTTTTCCTGGCACTGCCATGGAGCTGCTGCTGCTGCTGTTCTTTTCTTCCCAATCCCATCCTCTTTGCAAGGAAAGAATCTCATTCCTGTGCTGAATCCTCTTAGGAAGCCGATGCCTGTTTATTATTGTCTTTCCAAATTGGCACATTCCCAGAAAAAACTGCCGGGAACGAGCCGTCCTCACCCTCCCTGTGTCATCCTGGCTTTGGGGTCCCAGTTTGGGGGTTGTTGGTCCCAGTTTGGGGGTTATTGGTCCCAGTTTAACAGTCACTGGTCCAAGTTTAGGGGTCATTCATCCCAGTTTGGGGTCATTGGTCCCAGTTTGGGGGTCATTGGTCCCAGTTTGGGGGTCATTGGTCCCAGTTTAACAGTCACTGGTCCAAGTTTGGGGTCATTGGTGCCAGTTTAAGGCTCATTGGTCCCAGTTTGGGGGTCATTAGTCACAGTTTGGGGGTCATTAGTCACAGTTTAGGGGTCATTGGTCCCAGTTTAGGGGTCACTGGTCCCAGTTTGGGGTCATTGGTGCCAGTTTAAGGGTCACTGGTTCCAGTTTAAGGGTCATTGGTCCCAGTTTAAGGGTCATTAGTCATAGTTTGGGGGTCACTGGTCCCAGTTTAAGGGTCACTGGTTCCAGTTTAAGGGTCATTGGTCCCAGTTTAAGGGTCATTGATCCCAGTTCAGAGTGGCCTCTCCCAGCTGGATCCCCCCCAGTCCCCAGGGATGCTCTGGCCCAGCTCCATCTCTCCAGGCAGGGCTGGGAAGGGCCCGAGGACCCGGCAGTTCCTGTCCCCTGTCCCCACTCYGGCCAGGGTGGACATTCCAGGCATCTGTTCCCTGCTCTGGCATGGCCGGTGGCATCTGCCAGCTGTCCCCAGCTGTCCCCTYGGGGCTCCTGGGGACAGTGGCTCTGCCATTCCCTTCTCCAAACCCCCAACCACCCCAGGAGGGACCCCTTATCCCACTCCCAGTGGATTTTCCTGACTGGTCCCAGCACAGACCTTTCTGTGCCAGGSCCAGGGGAACACGCAGGGTTTGGGGGCACCAGCCTGGCCCGGCCATGGGGGGCTGTGGGGCCACTCCTGCCTTCCAGCGCCTCATTTTCTTTGATTCCCCTTTTTCCTTTTTTTTTTATTTTACCTTTATTTTTTTTTCCCCCAATGCTCTGCACAAAGAAGACAAAAGGATTCACGGTGCTGGGTGGGATTTGTGCTTTTGGAAGGATTTCAGCCGGTGCAGATACAAACAAGGGGGTGAGGGCAGCTCCCCCCTCCTTCCCCCCCATTTCAGCTCTGGGTTCAATCCCACATTTCTCCCGCTGTAGCAGTTCCCAGCAGAGAAGCCTCTGGTCAGACTCTTCCTGTACCTCTCCCGAGTTTCCTTTGGAGACCGAGCGCGCCTTTTTTCGGTTGTACCTTTGTCTCTGTACAGATATTTTGTAATATATTAAAWTTTTTTTCTTTTCAGTTTATAAAAATGGAGAAGTGGAGATTGGAAAATTAAATATTTCCTGTTACTGTATATCTTGGTTGCCTTTTGCTCCGTCGCTTCCCGTAGCCTTTGGAATCGCACGGTAACTTGCATTTTCCTTGGAAAGCCTTTTATTCCTGCCCTCCTGGTGAGGGGGGTGGGATTTGGCATTGCCAAGCCCCCAAATTCCKTTCTCTAATTAAGCTCCAAGCCTTCATTAGCCCTGGAGGGACTTGAAGGGGTGTTGGTGGAACATGGAATGGTTTGGTTAAGGTGGGAGTGGGAAACCTGGAGCTGATGGAAGGGCAGAGAGGGGATGGTGCTGCAGAAATGGGAGAGGGAAGGACTGAGGTGGAGGTTTGGCTCAAACTCTCCCAGCTCCTGGCAGCACTTTGGGTGCTGGAGAGGACCCTGGGGTGCCTGGAGGGGATGGAGCCATGAGGAGGGCACAGGAAGGGGAACTGTGCCTGTGTCATCCATCCCTCCATCCCTCCATCCATCTCCCTCTTCCACAGAAATCTCTCCATGGCATTTCTCCGCTGCTCCCACCCCCATCCTGGCTCCTGAAGGACCCAGCAGGGTTTGTCCCAGCCCTCCTGTACCCGGCAGGAATTTAGGATGGTGGGAGCTGCTCTAGGAGCTGCGTCTCCTCCCAGCATCGACTCCTTCGTGCTCGGTGAGGCTCGGGCAGACCCTCCSTGCGGTGAGGGGCAGCTGGAGGGGCTGGGGGTCCCCACAGCGTGTCCGTGCCTCCATCCCAGCAGCGCCCGGCCGCCGTCTCCCGTTCCAGCCCCGGCTTTCTCGCTCTCCTTTCGCCTGGTTCCGATCCCTGCGCTGACACGTCTTAAAATACATCCCTGTGCAGATGGTGGGGGGGTGGCGGCGGCGCCGGGCGCTTCCCCGCGCCGGGGAAAGCGGGAGCGAGCCCCCAGCGCCCACCCGGCCTCCCCTGATTTATGGAGGGGGCAGCTGGGCCCCGTGCACTCGGCTGGATCCCTAATCCAGCCTCCTGGTCCCTGCCCGCGGCTCCGCCGGGCTCCGGGGCCTCGCTCGGTGCGGCAGAAGGGCCGCGATGCCATCCCGAGCTCCCTCGCATCCCACCTTCCCTTCCCGCTGCCGGCAGACAAAGCCCCACGTGGCCCCGGCTCCTGCGGCATCCCGAGCCGAAGGTGACCAGGCCGTTTTATCCCATTTAATTTATTTTGGCATTGAACTTCCTCGGCAGCAGCTGCCGTGCCAAATGGCCGGGGGGCTGCGCGGAGCCGGCGCTGTAAATCTCCGCCGTTCGGCTCTTCCCGCTTGGAGCCGCGGCTGCTCCATCCCGACATTCCTGCCTGCTCCATCCCACCGTTCCCGGCTCCATCGCCTCGAAACGTGGGATCTGGAGCAGCTCTCCTTCCTCCTCATCCCCGCCATCCTCTCTGGGCGCTGGGGTTGTGGAGGTGGCACCATCCAGCTCGGTTGGCAGCGGGTTCCGGAGTGTCCCGGTACTCCCGGCACGGCCCGTGGAACCCAGCGCAGGAATGGTGATGGGGCTGAACCGCTGAGGAGGAGGAGGAGGAGGAGGAGGAAGGGGCTTTCCCTTGGAGCAGATCACCGTGGGACACCGGGATCCCACGGGATCCTGTCGGAATCTCCACCGGCAGCGGGTGTCGCATGTCCCGGGTGGATGTCGCTGCGCACACGCGTGTGCCGGGCTGCGAGCACACCTGGGGTGGCACACGCGTGTTCACACGTGTCCGGGGGGGGTGACTGTCACCAGGTGTCGCTCTCGGCACGGCCACCACCTCCCACCGCGTCCCCATCCTCCTCCTCCTCCTCCTCTMCGGCTATATTTGTCCTTCCAGCTGCTCCGGCTGTCGGCATTAAAGGTTTTTCATCCAATTTAGACGTTTCCTTCCAAAAATCCGTTCACACCTTTCGCT